CTGAGGTTTCTTGTCGACCAAGGATAAATAAAAGTCGTAAATCCCCTCTAAAAATCGTCCAAATGCTCGAAATATATAGATTCCCGAAAATCAAATCATTACGACGTGGTAATGGCACCACGTCGTGGTCCTCGTGTATATCCCGTATTCTCTAAGTCAGTCTCAACGATCGCTAAGTTTCGATTTACCATGTCGTGTTACTTGGGAATCAGCTTTTGTCAGACCATTAAATCATCCAAAATTGTGTCTAGTTTTCAAATCATTTTGAATCTCGTCAATCGGAGTTACTGTTGATAAGATATGGCCAAAACACTGATAAGGGATCAAGCTGTCCAACAACATTCTTTTTGCGTCTTTTTAGCTCTCTTTTCTTCTCCTTTTGCATTACAACTCTCATTTTAACTGTAATTGAACATTTCAAAGCGTATTAAATATCTTTTAGTTCTTAATAACATAAAAACATAGTATAAAATAATAAGAAAATGTAATAAATATATGCATAAAATAGACGTGATCACCTACCAATTTCAGGCTAAACAAAACAAAGAAATGAAAGGGAAAAAAAACGACGCACATAAAGAAAAGAGAACATAAATGCCAAAACTCACTCTTGACTTTATTAAAGAAACATAACTCAAAAAACTTCAATCTAATCAATGACTACATAAATTTGGTATATCTATATATACTAAACTAAAAGTCAGGAGTGTAGTTCATCGATGTCAAAGTCGGACATTAGAACGGATATAAGGTCAAGAGTGAACGACATGTGTTCCCGGGCCGGTGTTTGGGACGATTCTCCTCCCGACATCTTAGTTTAATTTCTGATTCCTCCACTTTATTGAAGAAACATAACTAGAAAAACTTCAATTTAATCACTGTCTACATAAATCTTGTATCTATATATTCTAAACTAAAACAAATCAGTGTATAATTAGGATTCCTAGAAAGCTAGACTTTCCTTATATTCGTTTCTTATTGCTCAAAGAAGTAAGGAGTACTTGGGCAACACTCCGAGACTCGTGATCTGGACCAAACACACATAACTTGCCACATTGGACTCGGATATTCACCAACATATACCAATTTCAGGCTAAACAATATGACATATACAAAACTAATTAGAACAGAAGAAGCACCAAAAAACAAAGAAACGAAAGAAACACAACCAGAAAACTACACGATGACCTAGTAAAAGAAAAACACTTTCAAGGGGCAACTCATCATTAGCATTTCACTATCTAATGTTGACCAGCAAAGGCGGTGAAATGGGAGGCAGCCAAGATAACCAAACAAAAAAACTTTCAATTTCCCCGATATATATTAATCCCTTATAATGATAATTGAAAATAAACATTCAAACATTAAAAAACCTGAATGGGTTATTCAACGTGAATAAAACCAAAAATCAAGATTACATAATCATTAAATAATTTGGTCTTTTTTTTTTTTTTTTGGAACCGGCCAATGATATATAAAGAGGAAAAAAGAAAGCCACAGCTAGTGGCAAACAAGAGTTCAAAATACGATGAAATGAAAAGAAACAGGAATTGTAAAACAAAAACAAAGAAAAAATTCAGAAAAGCAAAGGGCAATGAGACCAGGATGCCCAATTTAACTTGTCATTGTTCCCCCTATTCTTCACCCACAGGTAAACCACTGATTTGATGATATCAGTGACTTTATCTGGTGGCAGCCGGTTTTTCTTGAAGACCATTTCATTCCTTGTCTTCCAAAGACTCCATAAAGTACCATAATAGATTGCTAAGATTATCCTTCTCCTTTTTTTGCATACCCCCCATTGAGAAATGTAACCCAATACATCCTTGACTGTGTGGAGAGGTCCCAATTGAATATTACACCATCTTGATACCCCTTCACATACACTCCTGGCATAACTGCAGTCTACCAGGACATGATTAGAGTCTTCTTCGTATTCATTACACATGGGGCAAGTCAAATTTTCCGGAACTACCCCTCGCTTTGCTAACTCCACAGCAACAGGTATCCTTCCCATTTTCGCCCTCCAGATGAAGCAGTTGACTTTTTAGAGGGACTTCCTTCAGCCAACTGATTTGACCATCCATGACAGATGTCGTGTAATCCCATCTATGTCTAAGGTCACGAACCTCGTACGTTCCCGTCGAAGACAAACAACATCTCCAAGTTTCCCCATTAGTTGTGTGTTGTTTGGATAACACGGATTCAATTGGGATTTCTTTTTTTACCAAGGGCCTTCTTTATACCAGCGATGTTATTCCAAACTCCAGTCAATGATTTCTTCGAGTAAATACCATCAGGTTTCGCTTTAAGATTATGCAGGCTTGATATTACTTGTGCCCAAAGATGATGTGGTTCAGTTCTCAATTTCCACCACCATTTCATTAGCAGAGAGATGTTGAGACTTTTGATAGTGCCAATCCCTAAGCCTCCCATCTCCTTGGGTGCCACCGCTATGTCCCACGAGACCCAGTGTATCTTCTTCTTATCAACCGAGGCCCCCCATAAGAATCTTCTCCTTATTTTTTCGAGAGTTTGTATTATCCCATCAGGTGCTAAAAACAATGATAAGAAATAGGTTGGAAGGTTACCAAGTACCGATTAGGTAAGGGTCAATCTACCACCGAAGGATAAGGATTTTGATTTCCATTTTGAGAGTTTGGACCGAAACCTCTCAATAATCGGTTCCCAGTTCTTTTTTAAATTCATGTTAGCTCCCACAGGAACTCCTAGATATGTGAACGGTAGTGCAGAAGGTTCACACCCCAGTGTACTGGCCCACCTTGCTACTTCTTGCATATCAGATCCAACGCCAAAGACTTTATATTTGTTAAAGTTTACCTTTAACCCTGAAGATACATGAAAGCAATGAAGAATACGAGCGAGGTTGCTGATGTTGTTTCTTGACCACTCCCCTATGAATAGGGCATCATCTGCATATAGCAAGTGAGAGATCTTCGGACCTCCATTTGGAATTTGAATACCCTGGAAAATACCAAGCTCACAGGCAGACCTCATCGCTACACTGAGACCCTCCATGGCTGCTATAAATAAAAATGGGGAAAGTGGGTCACCTTGTCGGACTCCTTTCGATAATGAGAACTCCTCAGTCGGGCTTCCGTTGACGAGGACCGAGGATCTTGCAGATACGAGACAGCCTCTTAACCATAATCTCATTTTACTCCCAAAACCCATATGTAACAGGTTTGAATCAAGGTACTCCCAATTGATTGAGTCGAATGCCTTCTCGAAATCTACTTTGAATAGAAGGAATCTCCTATTTGACTTTTTTGCCCATGAGCAGATCTCATTGACTACAAGGGGCCCGTCAAGTATGTTTCTACCCTCGATATATGCGGATTGTACCTCGTCTATACACTGCCCCATTACCCTTTTCAGTCTAATCGAGAGTAGCTTTGATATGATTTTATATATGCATCCAATGAGACTGATTGGTCTAAAATCGCCAATCACTAGAGGGTCCTTGACTTTGGGAACTAGAGAGATGAAGGAGGAGTTACAAGAGGAATCAATATTGCCATGGTACTCGAAATATTTGACAACAGCAGCTATGTCACCAAGGAGTACATCCCAATACTTCTTAATGAATTTGATTGAAAAGCCATCTGGTCCGGGGGCTTTCTCGTTACCACAAGCCCATACTGCATTTTTAATCTCCTGTAATGAAATGGGTTCTTCTAGAGCCTCCGAGTCCACTTGAGATATTTTCTTAAAGTGCCGACTAACAAGTTTCGTCCTAGAAGGCCATTTTTCCTTGAATTTCTCCGCAAAAAATGAGAATACCCCCTGTTTTATGCTCGGCGGATCAGTGCACCACACTCCATTTATTTTTAGACCATCTATCAAGTTCTTCCTATTGTATTTATTGATGCAACCATGGAAAAAACGAATATTTTCGTCTCCTTCTACAGCCCATTTGATTCTTGCATTCTGTCTAAGATCCAAGCTTCTCGTCTTCTCCATCTCAATAATGGACCTATATCCCAGATTTCTATCCGCAATTTCTTGTTCAGTCAATTGCCTCAGTTCCCCTTCACTATCCAAATGATGAACCAATTTTTTGAGTCGAGACAGTTCAGCCTCCTCTCGTGGATGGTTCATTGCCCGCCATTTTTTTAATCCCTTCTTAATATGTTTGAGTTTGGCTGCAAGATACAAATCAGGAGTGCCAAACCCCAAAAAATTATTCCAGCTAGAAATAAATGCCTTTTCAAACCCATCTCTGAGCATCCAGGAGTTAAAGAAGGAGTTAAAGAACCTGAATGGAGGTGGTCCAAAATCTTCTTTAGATGAAGACAACAGAATTGGACAATGATCGGAAATTTCTCTAGGAAGAGCAGTCACAACTGTATTGGGGGCAAAATTAAGAAAAGAAGGGCAAACTAGGAACCGATCAAGTTTGCTTAGTTTAAGATCCGAGTTACGGAAGCAAGTAAAGCGATGGCCACCCATTTTCAGTTCCATAAGACCTGCATCATGGATGAAGTTATTGAAGTCTCTTGCAGTTTTGGCACAAAACATTGAATTAAATCTTTCCTCTTTTCTCCTCACAGCATTGAAATCTCCCATTATTATCCATATGCCGTTGATTGAATTCTTTTTTTCCAGTAATTCCTCCCACAGTTTGGCCTTGTCCATGCTAGACTGAGGGCCGTAAACATTTGCCAAGATTAACGGCTCACTAACGCCACTCCAGTGTCCAATATTTATTAGATAATGTCTGGACGATATTACCTCAGTGGTTTCGAATAGGTTATCATCCCACACATTAAGGAGACCACCAGACCTTCCTGTTGAGTTAACTCTGCTTGTTCCGAAATTATCTGAACCCCAGCATCCTCTCACATCAATATTTTCTGCCTCCATTATTTGGGTCTCTTGAATTGCTAAGAATGAAACCCTGTGTGTCAATTTCAACCTCCTAATCCAATCCACCTTGTATGCCTCACCTATTCCTCTACAATTTACCGAGAGTAAATTCATTGGGGTACATGGAGCTCACCATTTCCACCAAGAATTTCAGCCAACAACTTGTTCGCAGCATCAATTTCAAATCCAATCATTGCTCCAATTTCTGCTGTAGCCTCTATTTCAGAGATCTTTGGCACATTTTTAGGGCCATACGCTGTGGGGGAGATTGGTTGATCCCTGCTTAGGCATTGATGTCCAACCGATGGGGTTTGGTCATCATCTTCATTGAACAAATTTTGTACCGGAAGACCTGAAAACTCAACTGATGGCGATTTACTGCAAGAGCGACATCTTTTCTTTGCAGAGCGACCCATTCCATTTTCCCGTATTTGGATCACTTGGGTATCAGATGGTGAGTTAATCGCCTTAGATGGGAACGGGCCAAAGCAGCCAGATTGCGCAAGGTTTGAGGGGAAGGGAATGGGCTTATGAAGGCCCAATACAGAATGCTCCACGATAGGTCCACTGGATTCATTTCCATTGCCTGCTACTTGGCCTGGTTCATTAATTTTGCTATCACGTGTCTCCTTTAGATCGTCAACTATACTTACTTCTTTCTTTTTCCCATGCGACGTTTCCGCTTCCTCTGCGCTGGGGCATGCATGTGACTGTTGAGATACCGAAGCCACCGGCGACTCTTGAACTGGACTGATCTTCATTGTCCTATGGTCATCGGAACATCCGCTGTTTTCGGCACCGTCAACTGATTCTTCAATGACTATCTCACCTTCTTCTATATCGCCCATCCATGTATCTGATATACCATCTTCGTCGTTACCCGATACATCATCAACCTCGTCGTCTAGATCTTCCTCCGAGGTTACATAGTCCGTCTCAGGTTCACACGGTTGTACTTCATTATCAAATCTGAAAGGGAACCATGGTTCATCTTCATACTCCACCAGCCCCACGTCAAAGATTTTCCCTTCAGCTTCCACTCTTATTTCCTCGTTGATTTTTTTCTTTGCACCAGTAAGAATTCCAACTTTTACCACCGAGAGATCCACTCTGTCTTCAATGTGATCGAAGGGGATGATGATTTTCCCGAACCTCCGGACAATTGTAGAAAAGTTTTCTTCACACCATAGCCGAATGGGAAGCCCCACAATCTGTATACTAGCTACTCTCTCGAAATCGTAATCGACCTCCCCCACAGGTTTTAAGTAGTTAAATATACCTTTCCAGTTTTCTTCAATATTCAAGAAGCTAGTTGCTAGGGACTCAGAATCAAACGCGATGATGGCCTTCATTCCTCCAGCATATTTGACTTTCACCCCGACGTTACTGAAAATGGACATCAACGCAAGCAGATGACCAAGGTGATCTAGTGTTTTTACTTCACCGATGAGGCAGTTCCCTGTGGCCAATCTCATCACCCTGTCATCCACATGTAGCTGAATCGGAGCCTGGTTTAGAGGTATTTCAGTTCCGACATTACCCCCTGCAACTTCAGCATAGGATCTATTACCAACAAAGCCTCCACCAACTTTGGTCTTGGCATGGGTCGGTGGGTGAGTTTTTCTGTTGATTGTCTCTGGCGGCGCCCTTTCATGTCTTGCAATGTTTATCTCCAACATACAACTCCTGCATATTGTACCATTCAGTTTTGCCTCAAGCATCCTCTTGTCCTCCACTCCACTATATCTGATAAAGCCGAAGTTTTTGCCATTCTTTCCTTTTCTACCCCCAAAGTAGATATCTGTTAGTTTGCCGAAGGCATTGAAGATTCTCCGAAACTCGTCTTTTGTGGCCCCTGTGGGAATATTTGATACGAAAAAACTGGTTTCATCCGATCGAAATCGGTGATTCGCCGGAGTTTTTTTTCTCCTTACCTGCGTCCAACGCTCCATTTTCAGGCGATAATAGCAACTATAATCTACATTATTAGTGAAAATTCCAACAACGATATAAGAAATAATAAAAAACAATTAAATAATTTGGTCTTGATCACTAAAACTCTTCCGTAGGATTATCTTAACATAATTAAAAACCACTAACCAAGATACAACATATCATTCAATCAGTTAAAATTAACTCAGGAATTATAAATTTTAGTTTAAATGAGCCTCTAATTGTTCATTAAGTTATGAAATTGTCATTTATGATTGATATAAATTAAACTATTTATTGCCATATTACCAATCTTGGTGACCTTGTTTTCCCGTTTTTAATTATAGCCCCTTCGGTTTGAGTTTCAAAGTTATCAATTTGGGATTCTAGCTCAAACACGTGATTCAAGGAAATTATATTTGAAGACAATATCCAGTATGAAATTCTAGTTAAGAATTCAAACTAAAAGTATAGTTCCAAACTATATTTTTCAACTAATCTCTAGTCTCTTACTTGAATTTATACTTTGGATCGTATAAACAATCAACAAAATCTGCTTCTTAATAAAAACATAAAAGAACATGGGTTGAATCAATAAGGGCATGGGTAGGTTTGAAGACATGAAGACAAAATCCAATAAATTAGAAGAAGAATAAGGTTTGAACCAGATTGTGTATAGGTTTTTGATAGCATCTTTTTGTAAAGCTCTAATCGATACCCATTAAACCTAACTGCCTATGAGACAACCTTAAAACCACTTCCACGTGTAGCTTCTTGAACCTGTAATTACACTAACAATGAAGTAATTCTAAATAATTACCTATTTTTTATTTTTCAAGCACCAAGCATTACAAAACAGTTTTACGAACCTGTATAAAGAGTTCTTTTGCGACATCAAATAGACCTTTTAACCTGAAACAAAGTTCTTTAAATTTGCTGATGAATCAGATACTGATAAAAACATATACCAAACAATTAGTCCTTCGGTACAATTAAGATGAGAAATGATAAAAAAATGTAGGTCGTGGAAGAATCAAGAAGTAGATTACCAGAGAAAATATAGGTATCCCAAAGAAGGATATATTGAAATTAGATTAAATTAAAGTTGGATCAACGGATATATTGATTAAAGAAAAAGACTACAAAACAACTACACAATATGAAGAAACAAATAAACTTTAGATCAACGTGAGCACTTTGCTAATATGATGGCATGTTGGTTCTTACTAAAAGTGATGGATGTTTCAGAAAAAAAAAATCAACTGATACATACCCAATTTAGTGACTGCTACTTGTTAGTTCTCCCCCATGTGGTAACAACATGCATTTGTGTAATACTTGGTAATGGCATATGAATGGTTTTTGACGATAACTTCTAGTCATCGGAGACAGTAAAAACCAATTGGCACATTAAAAATAACGATTTAAGAAAAAAAAACAAATAATACGGGCGTGTTTGACTTAGCTTTTAAAAGCTCAAAAGTTTTTTTCCAAAAAGTTACAAAAAATCAGGAAATCCTCACTTTTCCAAAAAGTTGTTTTTCCTTGTATTAAAACTCCAAAAGTTACTAGCTTGCCAAACATCTTTTTATTTTTTTTCTTTTACAAAAAGGACTTTTAGATGTGAGAATGTAAGTCAAACACCCCCGTAAGAGAGGAGTTATTAGATGTGCTTGTTATCCAAGAAGTAGAAAACCCTAAAATCAAAACAGGGTGCGTACACGAGTGGATAAGAGTTTCAATTCAGCTTTGGTTCATCATGTCAGATCTTGCAACTTTGTTATTAGAAAGATTTTAGGTTTTTTTTGTTTTCATAAAGATAATGTGGGATTGTTGCGATAATGGAGGAAGCGAAATGGTGGATTTGAAGAGAGATATGTTGAGATTTAGGGGATTGTCGCTTGATATTTGAATTTAATTTGAGGGTTGAGATGAGAAACGATTGGTAAGATTCTTGATGATTTAATTTTCTTGAACGATTCTGATTACCTAAAATTAAGCGAACATTGATTTTATGGAAATGATAATTAGCGTGATATCAGCAAAAGAAACGGAAAGGCAACATAAAGTTTCTTTAAATTACGAAATTACTAATGGAATGAAAAGATTAATTAAATTTATTATTTATTATTATTATTTGATTAATTACGAATGACAAATGAAATATTAAATAAATCAAAAATCCAAAAAATATCATGTGTTCAAGTACATAAAAAAGTGAAACGTCATTTTTTATTAGAAAAAAATAGAAATAGATAATGGAACATTTTCCTTAAAGTTTAGGGAAAATGTCATCGTAGTCCCAGGAACTTTCACATTTTGGTTTAAAATGTCCTTATTGTTATTTTTCGGCTTTATAAAGACATGAACTCTTTTTTTACCGGCTAATTAGGGATTTTGCTTCAATTTAACCGGTTTTTTTGCCTAGTCATCACCTAACTCAGTTACAGAGTTAACTCACCCAACTCAGATGACACATCAATGACTCACTAACGAGTTGCCTTGCGTGGGCCCTAAGGGTACAGTGGTCACCCATTTTCGTTGTCAAATTTGTGAGATTCACCAAAATATCAGGTTGTCAGCCATCTCATTGTATCTTAACATGAAATTGAATTAGGGATTTTTGGATGATGCAGAAGCATATGGATGAAGTCCTTGACCTGACTCTCGCCATCGAAATGGTGGAAAAGGCATCCAGGGCGGGGGGTAGAAGTCGGAGCCAACGAACAACAATTGACGATTCTTATCCATGATTGTTAAATCTTTTGCTCATTTGTTCTGGAATCGATCTTTGTGAGTAATGGCATTATCGACATCAATTTTGATTTTATCAATTGATTCTTTGTTTAAAAAAGTCTTTCTACTTATTCTCGTTTCAACATCAATTTAGTTTCTTGTTTATGTCATTCGATGAAATTAATGATGATATGAAGATTCGATGTTTTAAAGTTTTGAAAATATAGATAATTGTGGTAATGAACTCGACTGATGAGCTGTTTGATCTTAAAATCGATTTGAAGAAGTGGGATTTGGTGTTTATGATGTGATGGGTTCCGAATGGTTAATTTAACTCACAGGTTGTGTCATTCAAAGCGAATGAAATCGTGACAGGAACTCAATGGAATGAAATCGCGTTTGTAAGGGTGTTCTTGTGAGTCAAACTAAAAAGGTCAAAATTGGAATTATTGATCTGTGAATGGTGTAATCGGATTTGAAGTACAGATATTAGAAGCGTCACTTTCATCTGCCATCGAAAATTGAACAGATGTTCTTACGGGTCAATGGGAAAGTCAAAATTATGTTACCTGCGAACGTTCAGCTCGGAATTGGCATTGTGTTTAATCGATTTGGATGAATGGGTTCGTTGTTGGATACTTGACTTATCTCAGATTCTCAATTAGGGGTCGACGGATGCAGCCTGCTGAGGTGTGCCAAGGAGTGCGAGTATGTCTCCAGCGGTGGCAGTGGTCGTTGTTTCTTGGAGTTGACTTTCAGAATTGAGATGGAATAATTACAGGGGTTGGGGAGAGTAAGACTAAGAAGAAGCAATGATGAAGAAAGAAAGAAATGATGAATGTTATTTTGAGGGGAAGTGATGATAATGGCGATGGATTCCACATGGTTGTTCTCCCTCAATTTCGTGCTCTCATGTTCATATACATTAGGTGGTATCTGATTTGGCAAATGAATTGACTTTTTTTAATGATGTGTACAAGATAATTGGCTGATTGTGAAAGGGGTGACCGGGTGACCCCTTCACTTTATAGAAAATGGCCTTAAAAGCCGGTAAAAAGAGAATTCATGCCCTTACAAAGCCAAAAAATAACAATAGGGGCCTTTTAAACCAAAATGTACAAGTTCGTGGGGCTGCAGTGACATTTTCCCTAAAGTTTATTACACATATCCTTCAAAAAAACATTATTTTGCTTGATTAATCATAAACATTCAATAAAAAAAGAAATCTAGGAACTAAACAAAATAGATTTAGGAATAGTGACAAACTATATAATTGGTCGCTATTCATATACCTTTAATCATGGTGAAATTTACATTTAAATTTAGTTGTTGTTTTAAGAGATTTATAATTTTTATTTTTTAGAAGATAAAAGTTTAAATAAAAAACTAGGAATATAAATCATATTTTTTTCTAGTAAAAAAATATAATTTATATTAAAAAAACATTCTAATTAATAAAAGAATTTAATTAATAATTTTTTTTGAAGGTATCGCTTCTCTTACAAAAAAAAAATTATATTTTTATATTTTATTTTTATTTTGTTCCGGGCCTTAAATTGCCTTGGGACGCTTATCAGCAACATTTTCATATCCAAATATTGATTAAGAGGCAATAAGATAAACAACATGGAATCCTAGCAAATCGAAATGCAACTAAATTCCAAAGCCAAAATTAATATCAAACAAAACACATATATGAAGGTGAAACGAGACTCTCTATGTACTCAATGCCATATATCGTTCCGAAATTTTTAAGACTTATCGATTTACACGAACGTTTTAATGTGTCATAGATAAAGATTTGGAACGAGCCATCCATCATAATGATTCTTCCATGATCCAAAATAGAGATTGGGTAAAACAGGTTGCGCCAATTAATACATTTTAAACCGAATCTGAATGAAAACGCTTTGGACCATGAGTTATGTTCCTTCATCAACCAGACATCAAATCTGTTAAACCTGATCATCATGCTGATGATACAAAGACATCCATTTATTGAACCCAAAAGCGTGCAATGACATCGATCAGGTATATCTATCTTTGAAACCACCATCTCCTTAATATTCAGACCCAAGATCACCACCATGTCGTATTTATAAGCAACCCAATATAAGAATCCGTTTAGAAACGTACCACCAATATCTTCGTGAAACCCATATTTTGGAGAGAAGTCTTTTCGTGTGATCCATGAACTCTTTTTAAGATCGAAGACATCAAAAGTGTTCCAGTCGCCATAGAAATCGTCATGAACTTCAATTTGAACAATTTTCAGGTCATCTGGGGTTGCACCATAGCCAAATCCAAATGCATAGGTGGCGCCATGAAATGGATACGGTGGATCCGGGATTTCCTTCGACGCCCTGGTCAATGGATTGTATAGAATCATATGAGGGTTTTGGAACTGATCACTAAGAACTAAAAGGACTATCCCAGTAAAGGTTCCTACAACGGTGACATCTGTACCTTCTTGGTGTCGAAAAGGAAAAGGAAGCTTGACTATTGAATGATCTGGGTCGTTGGTTGATACATTGTCGTCGATAAGATGAAGAGGTGAGGTGGGGAGGATGATCATTCGACGTGATCTCGACTTCATAAAGTAAGGATCAATAATCAGATGATTCCAGTGTCTGGATACGCATCTAAAACGCAGTAAGGACTTTGCCGGAAGTCGAACAAGTATATTGTGAAGAATGTCATCAGGTATATCGATGTCGGACATCGGAAAATTAGAATGGCGACGGAAGACGGTAGAATATTGCGCTGCAAGAAAGAAGATATGGGTTTAAAAGTATGATTAGGGTTTAGGCATATGGATATCTATTCTCAATCTTATATATCCTTCCTTTAAAAGCAATTAATTTGAAATGCAAATAAAAGTCTAATTATTGTTATCTTTATGGACTTTGATAGATATTAATTGCACGAAAAGTTGTGTTTATAATCTCATCTCAATCATGTAATAAAATGGAAATGTTATATTTGATTAAGGAAATTCTATTTATAGGCGATCGGAAAGTCTCTCATTTTATGCATTAGAATTTATAAATTCATTTGATTAAAACTTATAATAAACACTATATTAATATTGTATAAAATGACTTCCAACTTACTTTTTTTTAAAGTTGTTTTGACAAGCCAAAAAATTAACTTATAAAAAAAAACTATTCACACTAATTTTTAAATAAGTTTATGCAGTCTTTTAATACTCTTCTAAATATATCATTTATATTAATTATAAAAACATAATATCATAACATAATTTTAAAGATATATTTAACTTTTTTTTATATGTTAGTTTAAGATATTGATCGAATTCATTATGTAAATTGTAAAAGTAGTATAAAACTTTGGAGATGGGCTTTATCATGGCATTTTTTATTTATGTTTTTATATAATTTTAAGAACATTTTTTAATTACTTGTTCATTTTTTATTTTTTATTTGTTTTTTAACGTTTATTTTATATGAATATTATTTAATTTTATTTGCTTAATATATAAAAGTATATAATAAGACAAACTTTTATTTTGATGATCTCATCCATAACTTCAAAATTAAGAAGAATAATCAAATAAATGTCATAATTACGACATTTGTCTTTTGTATTTTGTAAAGATACTTGAATAATAAGTCGATATATTTGATTTTCAACATTATTTAATAACGCATTGATTATATACATATCAAATAATTAGACGATCATTCAAGATCTTGTCGTGATACCATTTAAAAGCCACATCATGATATACGAAAATATAATGATAATATTATGAATATGATATACAACATAAAAATTATATTTAAACATAATTAATCATAAATATTTATTTAATACTTGCTTTTTAACATACAATACATTCATCAGGCTCTGTCTGTCACTGGGTTCCACCCGGTATACATATCACATACAGCACATGCACGAGTCACACAGACAACTAGCATCTTAACCATAATAAATCATGGATCGATATTAGTGTCTTCGACCCGCTAAACATTGAGAGGAGACTCACCTCAAACTACTGGAAATCAGATAAATGCGCGAACTGCTGATCCGGAAAGTCCCCGTATTAAATAATCAATAAAACTCTAATTAACAATTAGGCCTTAACTATAACTTATGAATCCCATTTATTTGTCAACTCCCGGGGTAAATGATCATTTTACCATTTCTTTACTTGTCCTAACAACCATGGCCCAACCCAATGGTTCCAAAAGCCCAATATAACCCAAATTCCTACATGAGGCCCAAAACCCTTTATAGGCCTAAATCCAAGAATACCCAAAGCCTAATAATGCCCTAAGGCCAAAAAGACTATAGGCCTAACAAGGCCCAAACCATAAAAGTCCAAATATAGCTAGGGATGTCAAAAAGTCATGTGAGACCCCGTTCCCATGGGGGCCCCATCCTGTTTGGGGTATTTATTAAAAAAAATCGGGGGTAAGGGCAAGGTTAACCCCCGTTCTAATTTCAGAGGCGGAGGCGATGGTGGGCAATCCCGTCTTGAAAACCTCATGAGAACCACACTAATAAATTATATATTTACATATATTAGTTATATAAATATAATAAACAATAACATGATTTTAAGCTTCCAAAATTCAACAAAAAAAAATATTTTTAAGTTGTTAGTATAATGTTTTTAAGATTCCATAACTTATTTTTATTTGTAACATGTAAAAATTTGCTATAAATAATTATCTATTACCTAAAAAATAGCTTCTTTTAGTTCAAAAAAGGTAGCCGAAAATCAGTCGGGGGCGGGGGAACGGGGGCAAGGGCGGTGGTAATAAGGGGGGTTCGAGGGCGAGGGCGTGGATGGGGGAACGGGGAAATTTTTGGGGCGGGGGATGCACTCCTCGTCCCGTTTACCCCCGTTGACATCCTTAAATATAGCCTAAAACGCGAAAGTCAACAAAAAGTCAAGCTATTGAGTACGTCGGGTGTACTTAGACTTACGCCCAGTGTACTCTTTCCGGGGACAGTACGCGTAGCGTACAAACTGGGTACGCCCAGTATACTCCACAAACAACCAACCCTTCATTAAGCACTTAATCGGTTAAAGCTACTAAACCAAACTCTCAGATCTGATCCTAAATGGTGTCTTAACACATAAAGTTGGCAACTTTACACTCTTTCATGATTTAATGGGGCCCAAAACTAAAAAAGAACCATAAGAGTAACTCTAACTGATGCATGGTCCAACATAACTCATCAAGATTGCATTTTTATGAACAAAGGTCCTCAAAAATTCCAAGATATATCATCCCTAGCTTCTGGGGTAGCTCATACTCTTAAGCATGGCTTAAAGGACAACAAAAAGCATAAAAAACAAGCCCTAAATTAGATCTATCATAAGGGACCATCAAGTTAGGATCTCTATACCTCAAATAGCTTGCAAAGTTGATGAAGATTCTGGATATTCAAGCTCCAAGTCCACCAAGCTTTACCACTAAGCTTCACCTCCTTTAAAGGATCTAAAAACACCTCAAAATCACAACAAAGGCTCACAAAACACTCAAATAAGGGACATGGTTTCGTTATTAGGGATTTGAGAGATAGAGGTTGGTCATAAGAACCCCTAAAGGCAACTTAAGGTGTTTAAATATGGTACAAACCGTAAAAATTAGGGTTTGTCCCAGCCAAGCGTATTCCCACGTATGCCCAACGTGCGTGGGCGCCTCCACAACCATCTTGAGAGCTAGTACGCCCAACGTACTCGGATAGGGACCAATCTTGCAAAGATTTTTATATAATAAGGGATTAAAGGGAAAATATGGAATGTAGTGTTACAATTGACTAGCTCGATCTGCGAGTGTTACAATTGGGGATTTTGTTAGTGATTGAATGTTAACTTTCATGAAAAAAATTAAAGAACAGTGTAATATACACTTAGTTGTGTACATAAAAAAATTAGTGCTATGAGAGCTTCATGGAGGATTTTGTCATCAATATAGCCAAAAGAGGAATCAATAGGTAATGATCGGAATGCAAAATGTATCAGGGAGTATCAACATAAGTGGAATCCTTCTTAAGGTAAAATAACCATTTTACCCCTGGTCAAAGTCAACATTCTGGTCAAAGTCAACTGTGACATCCGGGATTTACTAGGTATTAATATTATTTATCTTATTGAATAATGAGTTATTTTGGTTTGGGGTAGGATAATTGGGCTTCAAGAATTGTGTTGAGAAGAGCATTATGTGGGGCGTACCATGCCAGGTACGCTCAACGTATATAAGAGAATTGGATGGGGAGGCCATGCACGTACGCCCAGCGTACCAAAGGGTACGCGTATAGGTCCTAAACCCTAATTTTTAGGGTTTGATCCCAATTTAAAGGACCTTATGTCCTTGGACCAGCCTCCATATCACCCTTAAACAACCACCTCGAAAACCCTAACCCACTCTTATGTATTTTTTCCATTTGAGAGCTTCTTTGTGTTATTTTGGTGTTCTTAGAAGAGAAGGAGGTTGAGGAAGAGGCAAGGATTCAAGAGGAGCTTGTAGATCCAGAAGATTGGCATCATTTTCTGACTCTTTTGAGGTAGTCTAGTGACAAAGAACATGGTTTGGCATGCGGAATTAAAGCTTGTACAATTGAACATGGTGATTTGGGTGTTTAAGAGATATATTGAATGTATATGGTGTTACAAAAAAAATCTAGATCTAGACTACATAATTAACACACACTTACACACTCACTTCTACATCTCTCAAGCACACCTCTACAAGTGGACAAACCCACTATTTATAGAGGTGTTTACATGTCTCTCTCTCACTCTAGCTAACAAATGGGTCTAAAGGCTAAAGCACCACATTCAAGTGGGTTTTACAAAAGTCAAACATTTACAAAGTCATGAATGAATAACTTTGCAACCCCAACAGGTAGCAAGTTCCAAACTTGACCATTACATGCTTAAATTTGTGTATAAGAGTGTTTAATGTCACTTTTGGACTCCATTGTTGAAGCTTCTTGCATCTTGATGATTTCATACCATAAAAGTTCTCCTTTTGGGCTCTTAGAGGCACTAAGAGTCATAAAAATCGGACCTTGATGGTTAAGCCACAACCATGTAAGTGTTTCATGGTCATAAAGCTTGTTAAAGGACCAAAATCATGTTTTGACCCCCTACCATGCATGCAAGCACATAAAGTTTGTGACTTTATGGATTAGGAGGCCTTAAAGGACCTGGATCTACATTTTGGACGTGAAGACTTAATGGATTAAATCACAAATGAAGTCCCAAGAAAGCTGGCCAGTACGTTAAGCATACACCTTGGTATGATGCGCGTACTGGGTCAACTTCCCGTTTGCGGTTAAGGCCAGCGTACGTTGGGCGTACGTGCGAGGTACACCGCGCATACACATGCAGAGTGGCTACCTTGGGCTTTTTAGGCCTTAGCGGTCTAGACCTGGACTATCGGGCCCTGTGGCCCCTAGTGGGGTATAGTTATGGGCATGGGAATTTGGAATTAGAAGTATTGGGCCTTTTGGGCCATATTGGGCCACTCGAGATTATTTGTTTTGGGTTAAGGACTTATTAGGCTTGTGAAAAGGCCCATTTGAAGGTTTGGGCCCAAATTTAGAAAATTAGGCCATTAGTGGGCCTTTAGGGAGCTTTTGATGGGCCATAGGTGGGTTGGGTTTAATAAGTTAGAATTGGGCCTTATGAATGGTTCAAATTAGGCGAAGGGGTAAAATGGTCATGCGAAACCGATC